AAATTCCTCCCTCGACTTCGAAACACCCCCCCAACCCTCCCCCAAAAATAGCGCAAGGGCGTTGCGCCTGCCGCCGCGATATTCAAACGTTTGAAAGAAAGGCGCAGGAAACTTCTCTCGCGGTTGGAGGCAGGTTGGTCCTCTCGGACGTTATTCCCAAGGAAATATGTTTCTTTCCCGGCTAAATGAGCCTGGGATGGTCTGGAAGAAAATGAGTCTGTGTCGGTGCACGTAACATGTATTTATGAGAGCTCCGAGGTACTCTGGGCCCAGGACACGTTGGATCCTGCATTAGCAGCGACTAATTAGTTAATCGTATTTTGTCGACAATGCAATTTTCTAGATTTTTACCGTTTTCTCCAGCCCAGTGGCTGCGTCTGCTGCCACACCAATTTCACCTTAAAAACTAGTTTGTAATTTTGCAAAGCTTTGACAACCGAATCACCCCCATTTTTTTTTTTAGAATACAATCATAAGCTATATTCGCGGCAATAATTTAGGGACAAATTTATCAAAGCGCCTCTCGCGCTTTTTTGCTCCCCTCTAACATCCACGTTTGTCCCGACCCGCCTCTGAAAAAGAACATTTTTTTAATATTAGTTTTCGTACATGTAAACCAGTCGCTGCCGTTTTGAGCAGGCTCCCGAATCGGACGATTGCAGGTTTGCTTTGATTTTGCTTCCAAAAAAAATTATTATTTTTTTTTTTCCAAATACCTTCCCAAATTCTGAAGGTTTTCGGGGAACCGCCAGAAAAGCAAACTATTTTTTCTTTCGCCAGGTATGAAGACGTAGCTTCTGTGTGAATATTGAAACCACCTGCGAGCGAGAGGGACCGCGTTCCTTAGCCATAACCGTGCGCACGGGTAAAGGTGAGGCGGGTTCCCCAGGAACAGCCCGGCACCGCTCTGCTTTGCTTTGGTTTTTATTAACGGGACGAAACCGAAAAAGAAAGACGGGCTGCCTTGCCAAGATGTGTCCGAAAACCGAAGGCGGCGAAAGAAAGGGTTTATTAGGTTTCAACTTTTCCTGCTTCGACAGCGGAAAGCCCCTTTTCCTTGCATCTCCCCCCCCCTTTATCCCCTCCGCGCAGCTGACCCGAGCGCCAGCCTCTGGCTCTCAAACCGGATCAAACGACTCCGGTTTCACTTGCGTTTCCACCGCCGGGCAGAGCCGTGCCATCAGCCCGCCTGAGGGAAGGGCAACGAAGTCCGCTCTGCCCGCTGCACCCCGCTTCGGGCATTTATTGCCGGAATTTGCCATTGCCACCGACGCCGTTGCCACTCGGCAGGGGAGGGCCACGGAGCCGGGGACCCCGACCCGCGGGGGCAGGTGCCTTCCCGGCGCCCGCCCG